TTATTTAATAGAAATATAAATCATTAATTAAAATATCTTTTATTTCCCATAAATGCTATCTGTAGAACAGTATACAGAACAAGTGAGAACTTTGACTCAACAGTGCATCGAAACCTTTGATCGATTTATGGATGTAAGAATTACTTTTTTTAACATCTTAGGAATCCTACGATAGAGTCAATGGAGCCATTGACTCCATTTACGAGTAAATGTATTTAAAGCCAGCACTTGAATAGAAGAAGGACCAAAGAATAAGTACCGAACTTGTAAAATTACCTGATGCTCCTCAATTAAAAATAGAAATGATCATCAATATCACTCCTGATGAGACCAAATCATTTAGGTAAAAATTTATTTATTTATAATAGATGTTTGTAATAATAGAAGGTGCAAGTAGTAGTACAAGAAGAGCAGGAGCTATTTGAGAGATAGGAAGATCTCGGATAGATTTTAGCCAATGCTAATTAGACCATTATTGATGATGATGACTCATCATCAATATTTAAGAAACTCTTAGATATGCTCTTAATAAACTATATTAATGATTTTATATTTTCATTTAAGATTTTATAGATTTTTATAGTATGCTCAAAGCTTTGATTATAAACTACAATTGCCCATTTAAAAAATTGGGTTTGTTCAACATCTTTATTGAGTTTCTTTAAAGCAACCTAATTTAAGAATATAAAAAAGTTAAATTATTAATTATCTAATTTAAGATGAATGGGCTGTTGTGAAAACTTTGAGAGGTTTAAGTAAACCGTTATGCATCACTCACAGGATACTGCATCCTATAAAATAAATATATTATATTAGTTTGATAATATTTAATATTATTTATGGAACCACTCCACTTTAAAGACTAAAAACGGTAAAACAAAAAATATATTAGCTAATTTAAATTAGGCAATTCAAACAAAAAACTCCTTAAAATCATCACTAAAGAAAACTAATGCAAAAGACAATCCATAAAAATCTTGCTCAAAATTTTTCTTGTTGTAAATTACAGAAAATTGGTTTTCATAATTCAATAAGAGTCTTACTCATGTAAGAATTTTTAACGATCTGCTTGATAAAAAAATAAGAATGCGTATAACTTCATTAATTTGAACATTTTTAAGATTAACCTTTAAACAAAAAAGAATAGCCTATAATGATCAAATAAATAAGCAGAAAGTTATTGATCAAGAATTTTAGAAACATTTGTTATATTTCTAACACTTCATCAAATCTAGTCGATAGAATTTTCAAGCAAACTCTAGATACATATATTTTAACGATTAGAACCTTAAAGTAAAGAATAATTTTTAAGTATACATAAGAAATAAACAATTTTGCTAATNAATAGAAATATAAATCATTAATTAAAATATCTTTTATTTCCCATAAATGCTATCTGTAGAACAGTATACAGAACAAGTGAGAACTTTGACTCAACAGTGCATCGAAACCTTTGATCGATTTATGGATGTAAGAATTACTTTTTTTAACATCTTAGGAATCCTACGATAGAGTCAATGGAGCCATTGACTCCATTTACGAGTAAATGTATTTAAAGCCAGCACTTGAATAGAAGAAGGACCAAAGAATAAGTACCGAACTTGTAAAATTACCTGATGCTCCTCAATTAAAAATAGAAATGATCATCAATATCACTCCTGATGAGACCAAATCATTTAGGTAAAAATTTATTTATTTATAATAGATGTTTGTAATAATAGAAGGTGCAAGTAGTAGTACAAGAAGAGCAGGAGCTATTTGAGAGATAGGAAGATCTCGGATAGATTTTAGCCAATGCTAATTAGACCATTATTGATGATGATGACTCATCATCAATATTTAAGAAACTCTTAGATATGCTCTTAATAAACTATATTAATGATTTTATATTTTCATTTAAGATTTTATAGATTTTTATAGTATGCTCAAAGCTTTGATTATAAACTACAATTGCCCATTTAAAAAATTGGGTTTGTTCAACATCTTTATTGAGTTTCTTTAAAGCAACCTAATTTAAGAATATAAAAAAGTTAAATTATTAATTATCTAATTTAAGATGAATGGGCTGTTGTGAAAACTTTGAGAGGTTTAAGTAAACCGTTATGCATCACTCACAGGATACTGCATCCTATAAAATAAATATATTATATTAGTTTGATAATATTTAATATTATTTATGGAACCACTCCACTTTAAAGACTAAAAACGGTAAAACAAAAAATATATTAGCTAATTTAAATTAGGCAATTCAAACAAAAAACTCCTTAAAATCATCACTAAAGAAAACTAATGCAAAAGACAATCCATAAAAATCTTGCTCAAAATTTTTCTTGTTGTAAATTACAGAAAATTGGTTTTCATAATTCAATAAGAGTCTTACTCATGTAAGAATTTTTAACGATCTGCTTGATAAAAAAATAAGAATGCGTATAACTTCATTAATTTGAACATTTTTAAGATTAACCTTTAAACAAAAAAGAATAGCCTATAATGATCAAATAAATAAGCAGAAAGTTATTGATCAAGAATTTTAGAAACATTTGTTATATTTCTAACACTTCATCAAATCTAGTCGATAGAATTTTCAAGCAAACTCTAGATAAATCAAAGTGCTCAATAAATAAATACTAAAATTATGATTTAATTTATTTTATTTATTCTGTAGTTATAATTTTCAATAATTTGTGAAAAATAATCATAATAAATTCTAAAGTCTAGTAAAAGAATTTAATTGAGCTAAAAATTAATTTACTCAAGCTATACATATATTTTAACGATTAGAACCTTAAAGTAAAGAATAATTTTTAAGTATACATAAGAAATAAACAATTTTGCTAATGAAATTGCTTTATGAATTATTAAGAAGGAAAAATTTTAATACTGAATTAATTTTTACGTGAATTGAGTCTTAAAAAACTTTTAAAATTAAAATATGAAACTCAATAAATATGTTAATATGTTGTAATTTCAATTAATTAGTTATGACATTTTTAATTTTCCTTCTTACATTATTTAATTTAAATCTTTATTCTTTAGAGTGTCAATTAGAGTTTCAATTTCAAATAAATTTGGGTCAATATCAGCCACTTACAGTACATGAGCAACATCATCCTTAGCTAAAATCATAAAATATATTATTTACTTGGTTATTTATTTCCTCCTAATAAAAGTAATGCATAAGTAGCAATATAAGACACTCTTACATTATTATTTTAATTAATAGGTTGTATAGATTTAGGTAAATAGTCATATTAATTTATTTCTGGGACAATTGTTTTTTATTTTGCTTCTATATCAAATTTTTCTACATTAAAGTTTTGACTAAAATCGATTATACTAATTAAATCTATTATATTAATTGGGGTTTTTTAAGAAATTAGTTTTGTTATTCTTCTAAGAATTTCGTTCAGTTTACTTAGGATAATTTGATTTTTTTGATTTAATTGTTCAAATTTTTGATACTTAAATATTTTTTCTAATTATTAATCCAAAATGTTTTTGAACTCTATCATTAGTGCTTTAATATCTTAAGTTTAATCCTTCTCTATTAATTTTTAATAGTCAATTAAACTTTGGGAAACAATCTACCAAATAGATTAAAAAAGATCTAAAGGTTTTTTTGTAATATTTGATCGAACATAGCAACCTAATTTTGCTTTATTAAGTTTTGTTTGTAGATTTATTTCAACCTTACCTTTTGATTGAATTTATTCAACATGATTATCTTTTGCAAAAATATCAATAAATTAAGTAATTTCATCTTTTTAATTGATATTCTTTTGAAGCATAGTCATCTTCTTTTCATCTAAATCTTAAACTCTTAAATTTCCTTCTGCAAATTTATCCACTAAATCCAAAAGAGGAACTAGTACTTTTATTGTTTCTTAATCCTTTTCTTCATTATTGATCTCGATCTTGCTTACAATTTATTAAACTACAGCTTTCATTTTTTCAAAGTTTTATCCACTATTTGGGTCCTTTTTTGTTGCAGCTTCAATTACTTCCTATTATACAGAATTTTGTATTAGTTATCCAATGTGAAGAGGATTCAATGTAGGTTTAATTTATTCTCCATCTAACTGGAGATTTTTGTTATTACCATCATCTTTGGTAAGAAAAGGCTCATTAGGTACGACAGTCTATGTAGTTACTTTTGATGCTATTGTTTAATAAACTGGTTAGTTAACTTGAAAATGCTTTAATTACACATTAAGAAGCTATTTAATTTATTAAAATATTGCAGTGAATTCTTATTATAATTTCTATTGAGAACTTCCCCCTCTTTCCACTTCGAAAATGGTGGGGCAACTTGAATTTTAATTATGTATGGATTTTCTTAAAATATTGGATATTGTATTTGGAAACTAGTTTCCAACAGCTACACTTATGAATTAAATTAAGTATTTCAATTTCATTTATTCAATCAATATCTTTAATTCATCAAATTCAAAACGTTCTTGACCATCACTAATAAATACAATTGTGATATTTTTTGGATATTCATTATTTAATAATTTTTCAAAAATTGTCTTAAAAGTTAAGGTGATATTTCCACTGCCTGCACATCTAAATGGATGAAGATCATATAAGTATTCTTCCCATTAATATTTCATCTATTTTTATCCAAGATCAAAAAAGGTTGTATTGTGAGCATCTACAATAACTTAATATTCACTCGACATAGAGCCAGTTCCATCAATAAGAGTGATTAAAAAAGATTAAGTAGTTGTGCTATCCTTAGCCATATATACATTATAATCGCTCATTTTTGCTTATTTGATATTAAATAAAGTCCTTTAAATTTTCTTTATAATCTTGATCTAATTCTATTAATCTTATTCTATTAAATTTTCTTCATTAACTTGTAATTTATAAAATAAATTTTACAAATTTGGTATTGTATGATATATTTTTTTTAAATATTGAGCCATGAAATAACAATTATTGTATGCTACTCAATCAATATAAAAGACAAATTACTGAAAGCAATTATTTGATAATTACATCGTGATTCATATCATTCAATTATTAGAAGATAACTTAAAAAATCAAATCATATTGGTAATTGCGCATATTTCAATCCTTGGAAACTGACTTAATTCTTAATATAAATTAAAGATTTTGGAGATTCAAAAAATCAATAATTGAGCAAGTGTAGAGTGGAGAAGCTATTTTTATGGTTCTATAAATTTTGGTTTGTAATAATTATCATCAGCCAAATAAAACAAATATAGATTATTGTATTGCTGTTAAAACAGTTATTGTTATTTAATTGTTCTCTTTATTATTCTAAAACTCAAAGATTTATTAGTATCTCCAAAACCAAAGAATCTGAGACTTGGTCTAATAGTGGATTATATCTGAGAAATGATTTCTTGGTGATTATCTTTAAAGTTGAATAAACATCATCCTTAATTTCTCGAGGATTTCGCAACAACACTTTTAATCATCAAAATTAAGCGCTTAGCCTTGGTATATCTAAATATTATTCCGCTATTATGAACTTTTGAATCATAATTCAATCAATATTTTTTATATAAATATTCAAATACTTTATGCATTTATCAATCTTTGGCTTCATTTTTGAGCTAAATTGAGTTTTAATAATAAGTTACTTATAACTGTTATAAAATTAGTCAGTTCCACTTTAACTCAAATATAGAATTATTAGAATGCAAAGAAGTAAAAATGATGGTGTTAATAAGTATATGTCCTTGAAATTTCTCTCTGCATTAAAAAATTTAAAACCAATATATTTAAATGTTTTCCTGATTCCTATCAATTAAGCAATCAAACTAGAAGATTAATAACTATTAAAAATTTAATTTTCTTGGTATTATAATAACATTCATGATAAACCTATATCATCATCCATTAAAAAGAAATTATTAATCCTTTTTTAATTTATTACTATCTTTAATAAATATAACTTGAAAATTCGAAATAAAATATAAACAATATGAATAAATATTTCGAATTTCTATTTATCCTCCTTGATTATGTCTTACAATTAGATTTCATTTACAGAAAAATAATCTTAACTAATCAATAGATTTGGTCAAAAATTATCAGAAAACTTTGATTTTTTACTAATTGTCGAACCTTAGAACCATTAAAAAGAACTAAATGGCATATTTCTCTTAATGAAAGCAAATTTTCTTGTCAATAACAAACTAAATGTTATTGTGTCATAAATTAGTCTTATTTTATATTGATAAAGTTCTTGTCAGGTAGAAGTTGATAGCTGATACTCAACTAAATGAAACACTAAAATATATATCTTCTCAACAGTATTGCTTATATGATTGCTTCTCACTGTTAAGAATTTTTTAATCATATTTATTTACTGTTAAGTTTCCTAGATCCAAATGAATAATAACAATGTACTTACTTTTTTTTTTAAATTACATTATATTTTTTTAATATTTTTTTTCTTTTCTTTAACTTTAATAAGCTTTATTTATTCAATAGATCTTGAACATTAATCGCATTCATCCTAGAGATATTTATTCTAAAATTTAGAATAATTTATTTTTCTTCATTGAACAAATAATTTTTCTATTCTATCTCACCAAAATGAATTCATCTGTCATCATGGAAACTGTAATCATTTAAATTTTGTTAAATTTAGAATTGACGATCAACCTTTCAATTTTTTAACTTTATGAGACAATCTTGCGTAAATAATTGTGTATAGAAAAAATCTTTTTTAGGATGATTAATATTGCTTTGATTAAATCTAAAATTTTTCATAGCTTGAGTGAATTAGCAAAGGCTACTTAAATGGTTTAGAGAATTTCTTTTATTTAACGATGATTAGTTTAACTCGAACATCTAAAATGATATTTGAATTGAATATACTTAATTATTTCTTAAAATTTTTCAATTATGATTAAATGAACATATAAGACCTAAAGAAATTTTTTTACTAATTTCGTTTAATTGATTTAGTTTTAAGTAAATTATTTGTAATATGTTCTTTTATTGAATTTTAATTTTTTATTTATTTAATCATGATAACGACACCATCCTAAAATATAACTATATAAGAGAAGCTAATGGAGGAACGCAAGAGATGTATTTAATCTCAATTCCAAATTTAGTGATAACTTCATTTGAATAAAAATTCTTAGGTGAAGAATAAGCACGCTAAGCTTAATATGCAGACCAAGCTTCTTATAATGGTTAGATGAATGAAAAACAAAATAAATAAGGAGTTGGAAAATACTTATTTCCAAATGGAGATGTGTAATTTAATTAGTGATTTTTTTAGGTACATTGGACAGTGGTCTAACGATCTGTTCAATGGAGAAGGTGTTTATCTTTTCAACAATGGAGAAAGATATGAGGGACATTTATTGAACGGCAAAAAGCATGGTGTAGGAATCTATTATTATGCTAATGGTAATATGTATAATGGAGAATGGATCAATGATTTGAAACATGGAAAAGGCAAATATTTGTATTACATACAAGGGGAATCTTATGATGGTGAATGGCAATTCGGAGAAAGACATGGTAGAGGGGTCTACTTATACTCACTTGGAGATAGATATGATGGTCTTTGGGAAAGAGGACTAAAATGGGGAAGAGGAATTGTGGAGTTTGCATCTGGAGCAAGATATGAAGGCTAATTTGCAAGTGATAAAGCGACTGGTTAGGGAACCATGATATATGTTAATAATGATAAATATGATGGGTAATGGAATGATGGATTAAAACACGGTTATGGAGTTTATACTATGGCTGATGGATCCAGATATGAGGGAAATTGGATGAATGATGAAAGAGAAGGGTAAGGACTTTTTCTCTATGCATCGGGTGATAAATATGAAGGGATGTATAGTAAAAATGTGAAAAGTGGGTATGGAGTATATGTTGCTTCTAATGGAGATCGATATGAAGGAGAGTGGGCTAATGATAAAAGGTAAGGCAATGGTACACTTTATATGGCAAATGGGGATAAATATATTGGAGAATGGAAGGATGGTGAGAAGTCTGGTAAGGGTATCTACTACTTTGCACATGGTGACACCTATGATGGTAATAATACAAAATCTTATCTCTAGGATATTGGCTAGGGGGAATGAGGCATGGCTTTGGGAAATATTCTTGGAGCATTGGTGATTATTACGAAGGAGAATGGAGGTTTGATAAAATGAATGGTAAAGGAAAATTTAAAGGGGCTGATGGTTCAGAATATGTTGGAGAGTTTTCAAATGACAATAAAGTAAATTGATTTCTTATATTATTCTATTTTCATTATTATTATAATTAAATTATTTAGTTTAATTCATCGATAGTTTAATCTTTTAAATTCATGATTTATTGAACTTCCATTTAGTTTTATATTAACTCCTATTGATATTCTTGCTAAATATGTTGGATTGTGAATAAATTCTATTGAATAATTTATGATTGATTATAAATTTATTATCTCTATTATTCAATAATTTATTATTGCTATTCACATTTTTACTTCCAATCATCACACTCTGAACTAGCCTAATTTTTCTGAGTCATTAGCTCATCAATAAAAGATGTATATTTTTAAACTACAGATTTTAAGTTATGTTTTTACTCAATCAAACATGATTCCAATTGAGATTTCCTATAAAAAATTTTATAAATAATCTACATTTCAAATTTCAATTAAAAAACTAGTCTCTTAAGTTCATGATTTTCGTGACGATAATAATCAACACTATCACAATAAGATTTACAATCATCATTTGTGCTCTGATTACTCAAATTCTAAACTCTAAATTGATAAATGGTAAGATATACTTGTTTTCTTTATCTGTTGTTTAGATTCTTTTTTTATTAAATTTGTTCAAATAGGAATTTTTTTTGTCTGGAGTGTGTGAAGTATTTATATACATTTTTAAATTTTAGATGTCTGTTAATATAAAAATTAGTATTTTATATTAATGTAAAACATTGACATGATGTAATCACCTCTTCTTTCGTTGAATTTTTGTTTTTATTATGATAATATTTGATAGAATTTTAGTCGAATTTATCATTTTGTTTAGGTTAATTTCTTTTGGCTACAAGTATTTCTAGGAAGATGAATAAAATTATATATTTAAATTTTCCTAGGGGTTTTAGCCTATTATCTCTTAATTCTATTTTTCAATTTCTATTTTTCCACTTTGATTTGTTACCTTTATACCTACAAATAAATATTATTTTTGAGAATACTAAAAATTTATTTTCTGAAATCGCTACATCAAAAGAGCCTCAGAATTAATGTTTGAGAGCGTTATCTAAATTATATTAGAGTTAATTAAGGTCTTGATTTTACCCCTCACTCATAACCAATTGGGAGCCTCTGAAGTATTTGGACTGCTGTGAAATTTTTCTAATTGCTATAGTTTAGGGAATATATAGAATATAAATTATTGATAATCGAACTCAATCTATGGTACAAATCTTTTTATTTTCTAGATGAGATAGTTATAATTTAGATTTGAATTATTTACTCTCCATAATTGAATAGGCTGCATTACTTATTATTTCAATTAATCATGGTATTCAAGAACTTCTGGCAGAAGGATCTATTTTTTTTCTATAATTTATTTTTTATAAGTTTCACATTTTCAAATTATTCTCTTTCACTAAATAGATAAAAGAATAGTTCTTACTATATCTGATATGGTTTCTGTCCGTTATTGATTGTGATAATTAACATAAAATTTCCAAAATCCTATAAAACAAGGAAGAGGGTTAAAGTGATTAAAATATTGTGTAGAATAAGACTCATTTAGGTTAAGAATATTACCCAAAGAAAATATTTTCTATTCTCAAAAAAAAATTTCAACTTTTATATGAGGAATACATAAAAAAAATATAAAATTACCAATATTCTTATTTTTAAGGGAAAAGAGTACACCTTAATAATAAACACATAAGTATAATTTCATTTTGAGGATGCTTGAGAAATTTTTAAACTATGCAGGAAGAGGTTATTACATTTACATAAATAAAACTTATTTTTAATACGTTTTAAAAATATATTTAATGAATATTAATCAATCCATAGATTTAAATTAATGATAGTATGTGTATTTTATATTTTCATTTAATATTATTAATATTCTAAATAAAAGGAATAGCTGTAAAATTTTTATGACTATTGTTTTTTGGTATTCTAATTTCTTTGGATTACAAAACTGGCAATCTCTTTGGTCTTATATTTAATAAATTTAGTACATTCGAAAAGTCTTCTCTTCTCCACTACTTTGAGTCAATTATTAGATAAGGTTATCATAAATCTACTTTGTTAACACTTTTGGAGCTACCTATGAGGAATTCAAAGAAGAGGGTTGATATCCAAAGCTATCCAACTTGTTTTTTAATTCAACACTCAATTCCATTAATTTTGAGGCATGTGTCTGAATGTTGTTTATTTATTTGTTCTACAATTCTTTATTTAACCTATTAAGTCTCTTATTCTCTTTAAGTAAAACTTATAACTTTTATTCATATAATATTTTCACACTTTATATCTCTTGCTAAACAGCTTCTTCTTTATCAATTGATATTAATGTTTAACTAACGAGATATAATTGTTCTAATAAGTTTTGATTATCTTTTCTTAACTATATTAATTCTAAATAGACAATTTCCAACCTTTCTTCTAATGATTAAGCATAGTTTATTTAAACTGCTGCCTTATCCAATTATCGTTAAAGATTGTAGACGAGCAAAGAAAGTCTTTAATTTTCATCAGTTAGTTTTAAGTTCAGGTCAATTAGGTTATCTTTGATAACATGATTCATAATTATTATTATTCAAGACAATCATAATAACTAATTTTGATACAACTTCATGACGATTGCATTATACAATATAGTTTAAGAATAATTATCAAGTTAGAATTAATTACTGAAGAGATACAAATGACAGACTCTCATCCAATCCGATACTAGTGTTTGGAATGTTATCAATATCTCTATTTACTCAGAAATCTCTTTAACTTTTCTTAATTACTACTGTTATTAAATAAAAAATGTATAAAATAATCATTAGCAAAAAAAAGAAAAAAATTATCTTCATAAACTTTATCATTACAAAGGAAGTTAATCATAATTCAATTTCATAATTTATTTATTATATTAATTCAATCTCATATAAATAAGAATGTATGAAGAATAACGTAATTTGTAGAATATATTAAATTTATAATTCGTTGTTTTACCTTTTTAAGAATTAATCCCAGATAAATAAATTGGTCTTTTTTCAAATTTTTCAATAATTATTGAATTTGATTCATTCTTTTGCTCAAGAACTTTGCAACTAATATATCATTAAAATTGATTAATATCCCGTTTTTAGATTTTAATATTTCTAATTTTTCACTTCATAGTAGCCATCTTATCAATCATTTCTATTCTATCTAATGGATTTTTTTGTTAATTATAGATTATAAATCTCATCATCTTTCATAATCAAGCTGAAGACGCCACTTAGTAAATATACAACTTATTATTTTAATTTAAAATAAATGAAATAAATTCATTGAAATAAATTATTTTTTATTATCACTTTGAACTTAATTGAAAACAAGTTTAATGAAATCCTAACAATCTTGTGTAGATTGTTGTGTACTTCAAGAAATGGTAAAACAAAATTAATATAAATAATTTTTTAATATCATTAAAGTTATTTTACATAGTCTTCAAAGCTATTTAGATTATTTAGATTATTTAGATAGTATAAATTTATAATCAAACAAATTATAGATAGAATTAAATTAAATTGAATAATATAATATAATAATTCATTATTTAATTGCATCACCAGTTTAACAATCACTCTCAAATGTGTATTAGAGAGCTTAAGATGCATTATTTCCTTAATATATTCTTTTTGCATAGCCCATAGTAGTATTCGATAAATAATCATCTTATTACTATTTTGAATCACCCTTAGGAATTATTTATGATTGGGATTAAGATTTTTTCAAATCTCTGCCAGTAGTTTAACAGCTTCTATTTGGTTGTGGGCTTTATTTCTCAATTTTTAATCTTTTTGATCTACTAGTTAAGTAAATTTTGACATTCTAAAAATAAATTTATAATTCTTCTAGTTCCTTTTTAGTTGGTTGATACCATTTAGGTTCATTAACATTGCAATTTTAAAAGAATACACATAATTGTGCAAATCGTTTTACTTATGGTGTTAGTTTAATATATTCATTGAATAATTCATAAACTTAGATTGATTACTATTGATCCATTTGTTAATAACAATCTAAGAATTATCGTACAAACCTATGAACTAGGATATTCTATAAAATTACCTTTCCAACATTAAATAAAGTGCAATAACATCATTCCACAATAATAAATAGATTTCCATTACTATTATTCTGCTGTTGGATGAAAAAACCTGTGCGTAAAACTTATGTCAAAAATATATGTTTACTTCATGTTATCCAAGGATAAGATTGAGAGCATTAATCATTTTATAAAATTGCATTACATTAGAATCGATATCCTTAACTAAAATATTATACTTCAGATGTAATTACATAAAACATTAACATTGGATTTCATTTTACTTTTTGATATAATTTCGCTGATCAATGCTAATTTTTGTATTATCATTGTTTATACAGAAGTGAACTTACTAAAAGCATCCTTTTATTCTGTATGTTACCAACCAATCCATCCAAGGAATTATTACACAAATAGTCTGCCATGCTTGATATCTCCCATTAAGACATGGATAGTTAATAGTACTTTTAATTTTTTAGGACTTTCCAATTATTATGGTATAAGTCTTATGAACTCTTTGAATATTTGAACTATTGTCATACTCTAAACTAATTGATCCTCTTCTTCTTTAGATGGATACCCTTTGTTATTATTAATACTTACCTTATAACATTTTTTTAATATCCTCCAAATCAACAGTTTCTGAATTATCATAGATTGTGCTCTCAAATAGATGCTTCTCAAATCTAGTTTATCTCTTAAACATATTCTTTAGAAACATTTTATGTTTATATTTTAATATAATCAAAATATTTTGTAATTTGTTTAACTCTTTCAAAGTTTATACATTTATTTTTAAAATGTTATGTTAAAATAATTCATTCTTCAATTTATTAATGCAACAACTAAGTCTTTAATTACTGAGCCAGATCTTCAATTTTTTGTTATAATAATTCAATTTATTTAGTACGATCATCTTCATCCTCAGATCTTATAGGAAACCAACTTACACTTTCAGATTGAACCTTATCCATAATCCAATATTCTAATCCTGTATATTCTGTTGAATCCTTATTTTAAAGACAATAGATATAAAAAACATAATTCCATAAGAAATGTTTGCTTTTTATGTGTTCTTCAAAATCTTCTTGTTGTTTTTCAAGTGTTTGTCTGTCAATTCCACAAATGAAACATTTATTCTTTTTATCATCCTCTATTTGATTCCTTTAATCTCTCAATTAAGCAAATGTATCAGTCATTATACCTGAGATGATATTAGTAAATAATAGAGCAAAGAACACAAAGTAAACTGTATCATATATGAACTTTAAGGGATCCCATTATGACATTGAACTACCAATTACTCCAGATGTCATCAAAGTGATCATACAACTAATTAAACTATGACAAGGATCATCCACTTATTCAGGATATATATCATCAACATAATTATTAAATCCTACAATACTAAATACAAATTAGAACAACACTCCTAACAAAGCTACTAAAGATAATTATTTTGCATTATGAGATATAGCTTAAAATACACTTTGCAATAATGATAATTGTCCAAATAAATAGAATAAATGCAATGAAAAATAATATGTATTTGAAATTAATCCTAAAAATGCAATTGCTGTAAATGATATGTGAGACAAGAAATCTTCTCCTTTAAAAACAATTATGAAATTAGAGATCTTTTAAATGATGTAAGAGTGAATTTTAGTCAAAGAGAATTATTCTTATTTAAGTTTCTTGAATTCTAAGGATGCTCTACTTATTATGTAAAATGTACATGCACATAAACTAAAACTAAATTATAATAATGATAAAATAAACAATGTAGCTTCTTCATAGTCATCTGTTACTAATGTTGATTATTTATCTTTTATCATAACTGCATATGCAAATATCATAAAAATATTAATAATCAATGATAGCAATTATGAAATGTTAATTAATAATTAAATTGTTTTATGAGTTATTGGCAATATCCAATTTTGTAAACTGAAATTATAACTGATTTCACTAAAAATCATCTCCATCTCTTCAAGTAAAGATATCAATTTCTTTCTCTATGTGTCTCTTGGTATTTTGAACATTATTTTATCTCTAGTTTCATCACTTAAAAATTAGAATACTGGATGAGCAGGAAAGAATACCATCTAATATTCATTCTCATAGAATATTTCTATTTTTCTTAAATTATTCAAACACATAGTCTAAATATCTTTTAAAGTTGGATTACTCTCAAATTCCTACTTAAAATGTTTCACCCACTTTTGATCCTTACTAACATATTCTATTTTCTCTTTGATTATGAAAACATTTAACATTTATTATATTTCATCAGAAAATCTAGCTTCTTTCTTGAAATCAAAGATCTTCTCTATGCCTACCTTCTAAACTATTAATTTTATGAAATTAACCAAAAATCTACAGTCCAATTTCTATTATAACTCCTCATAATTTTTTTAGTTATTTCCTTCTAAAACTAACATAATTGATTAAATAATCTTTGCTTATAATTCAAATAATTCAT